ATCCGAAGTCTGCCCGGTCCACTCCATGATCAGGTGAAATTGGCGTCGCTGGTGGGAGACAGCAAAGCGTTGGATCTTGTGACGGTCGCCCAGAATTTGTCGGAACGAGTGACAGTGAGAAGCATCCAGCATGCTGAGTTGGAACAGAAAGTAAATCGCCTATCCGAAATGGTGGAGCAGCTGTTGTCGATAGAGTCTTCAAGCACCACTTCACAACGCAATGTACGGGTAATCCGGAACGGTCGCCGCTGTTTCCGGTGCAACCGAAGTGGTCATGTGGCGAGATTCTGCACCAACGTCAATGTGCCCCATTGTTTCTCTCTATCCATGCCGAGTCGGTGGCGAGTACCAGTCCTCCAGGTAACTATAGAAGGTGTGTCTGTCCGAGCCATAGTAGACACAGGAGCGGCAGTGTCAATTACGAAGAGGTTCAATGGGGTTCCAGTAAACCCATCTTCAATCACGATGCAGACGGTCGGCGGGCATTCTTTGAAAGTGACGGGCACGCAGCGGTTACGAATCAGGATAGGAGAAACGCTCATCAGCCATGACATGTTCATCGTGGAGGAGACGACCGAAACCATCATCGGAACCGACATCCTGAAACGGCTCGGTGTCACAATTGACCTGAAAAACGATGTGGTGATCGTGGCTAACGAGACGATCGAGATAAACAAGGGGAGAACCGACCGGGTTGGTGCCCTCAAAGCCGTGCCTGATTGTCAGAACCGTGCAATACGCAACGTACTGAGCAGGTATGCCCACTTATTCACAGACGCGGAAGATGATTACGGATTTTGCAATTGGGTTGAACACCGAATACCGTTGATCCCAGGAGGACAATGCAAGCCAATCTTCAGACGAATTCCACAGAACACCCTGGTTGAGATACAGAAGCAGGTGACCGAGATGGAATCGAAAGGAATCATCAGGCGAACGCACAGCCCGTATTCATCACCCGTGCTATTGACGAAGAAGGCCGACGGAACCTATCGATTTTGCATCGATTTCAGAGAACTAAACAGGGTGACTGTGAAGGATGCATTCCCGATGCCTCAGATGGAAGAAATTTTCTCAAGCCTTCACAGTGCGAAGCAGATATCTCTGATTGATCTCCGCTCGGGATATTGGCAACTGCCGATCGCAGAAGAAGATCGCCACAAGACGGCTTTCAGTGTCAATGGCCAGCAGTATGAGTTTTTGAGAATGCCGTTTGGATTGTGCAACGCCCCGGCTACATTCAGGCGTTTGTTGCTGATGGTCCTCGCGAACCTGCAAGGCGTGGTTGTGTATGGTGATGACATCATCGTCTTCTCTGAGACGGAACAGGAACATGTGACCAGACTTGGAGCAGTACTGCAGAGGCTAGACGAAGCTGGTCTGAAACTCAGTCGTAAAAAGTCGCAGATTGCCCAAAAGTCAATTGTATGCTTGGGTCACATCGTGGGCAATGGTCAAGTCCATCCACTTCCGGAGAAACGCGAGACGATCAAGTGCTTCGCAAAACCAAAATCCAAGCGTCAGCTCCGTTCGTTCTTGGGAGTGGTGGCATATGATTCAAAGTTTGTGCCCCAGTTCGCAGAGAAGGTCAGCCCGTTGTTAAAGCTGCTTCGCAAGGACGTGCCGTTCGTGTGGACAGCTGAAGCGGATCAAGCCTTTGACCATCTAAAGGCATGCATAGCAGAAGCCCCGACATGTCTACGGCTACCCAATCCTGGTGAGAGGTTCACTGTGGCTGTCGACGCAAGCAACGTGGCCATCGGTGCGGTTTTGTCTCAACCGGCTGGGGTGGTGGAGTACGCGAGCAGAGTGCTGACGGGGGCGGAACAGAAGTATTCAACAACGGAGAAAGAATGCTTGGCCATCGTGTGGGCGTTAGAGAAGTGGAGAAATTACTTACTGGCGAATGAATTCCGGGTCGTCACTGACCACAAACCGCTCTCGTGGTTGATGACGGCGAAAGACCCGCGGGGACGGCTTGCGCGATGGGCCTACCGATTGCAGGAATTCAACTTCACCATTGAGCACGTGGATGGAACGCAGAATGTATTGCCAGATATGTTGTCACGCCCGTGTTTGGACGACATCATGCCAGACAATGCCATACCGGTGCGTGCGATCGCGATGGGGGAGAGGAACCTGCTGGGAGATCAAAGGACAGATGAATTCGTGAATGTGT